TTTTTCTTCTTTATTGCCAATTAACTAAAAATATTCACGCATATATATCATGTTATCGTGATTTTTGCCTATACTCGCCTATGCTTTTAATTTCTAGAAAAACCAGCGTGGAACACGCAATCTTTTTTGGTATAAAATTAAATTATCATGCCTAACTCTTATCCTAGTCAGGAAATTCAGGAAGAGATAAAAAGAGTGATTAAAGCCTATCGATTGTCTTTTCCTTGTCCTCATTGCCAGGAGGAAATTAACGATAATCATTTTAGTAAAGAGCAGCGAATTTTTCAATTTATCAGCGAAAAAGTGCGGGAACTAGTGGAGGAACAATTTAATTTGCGGGGACAAACTTACCGGCAAAATTGGTTGGAAGAAATTAAAACCAGTCGCATTTACGAAGATTTTCCGGCCTTTCAAGAATTACGACTCAATTTGACTAATCTCCAAAGTCAAGTGACTAAATTACAATCTTCTGAGTATATTGAAAATTTGGACCGAGTAAAAAAATTGAATGAAGAATTAGCCAAATCGCAAAAAGAGACCACCGAATTACGAGTTTTACTCCTGGGACAAAAAAAGAGCGGACAGAAGAAAGGGGAAGAATTCGAAAAATGATTTTTGGAAGAATTACGCAAAGTTTTTGATGACCGCGATAACATTAGCGATATCAGCAAAGGTCAAAGCGGGTCCGGAAAAAGGGCTGATTTTTTACAAGAAGTATTTACTGACCAGGAACCGAAAGAAATCGTCGGCCGCATTATTTACGAAACTAAAAACACCGAAAAGTGGAGTAATGACTGAATTGGTAAATTAGAAAATGATATGCGAGCCCAACAAGCCGACTATGGTTTCATCATTGCCACTTGCGAAAATGATAAACCGATTCGCCCCCTAGATTTGCGGAAAAAAATTTATATTAGCGGCGATAACAATAATCTTTTTGTGGTAGCCAAGATTATGCGGGAACTACTAATTACCAAACATAATTTTAAGCAAAATTCTAGCATCAAGGAACGCAAAATAAAAAATTTGGATGAGTGGATAAACGATAAACTTCCTCGTTATATTAGTAGTTTAGAAGAAGAATTTGACAGCCAAGAGAAAGAGACTAATAACATCATTAGTAAGGCGGAGAAAATAAAAAATTCGACCGAAAAAATTCGTAAACTGACCCTAGATAAAATCATTTTAGAAATAAAAGATATTTAAATTTAAGAGATTTAAATATTTTTATAATAATATAATAATAGTATAAGTAATATAATATGACAAAAGAAAATCAATATTTCGTACCCTAACATAATAAAACCCCAATAGTAGAAATGAGGCAGATAGATTACCAAGCACCTTGTTTCGAAGAATTTATGAAAACTTACCAAGAGGAGGAAAAAATAGTCAAATCTTATGAAAGTGTTTTTCAAGATGAAGTATTAAATGGTCCACAATATGGTCCCGGTTCATCCAGCAGCAAAGAAGAATATAAAGAATGAAAGAGATTTACAATTCAAGACATTGAAAGAAATACTAATCATATCAAGTTTAAGTTCGATGATAATGTGGAGTTTTCTAATGGAAGTTTTCCTTATATTCATTGTGTCAACGAATCGCCTTTTAATAGTTACAAGGTGGGGGAACAAGTAGAGATTGAAATGAAAAAAGCGAAAAGAATGACTAGCAATATAAAAGCCAACAATAATACTTTTTTAAGGATTGCTGATGCTGAAAGGCATTGAGTAATGGTAGAAAGAGAAAGGAGGAGTGCGGTATGGACTAGGAGAGTAGAAGAACGAATGGAGATATGGAAGTTACTTATCGAGAGGTAAGTGTTAAAAAGCGTGATGGGAGCGAAACAAATATTTACAGGGGCTGGTCATACCATAAAATGGGAGATTTTGAATTTTAAAAAGTTTTAAAATTTTTAATAAAAATAAAAATATGTTTGAAACCGAAATTTTTGAAAAACAATTAGAAAGAATGGAAGAAGGCGTTGATTACGAAGTTTTGGGGGGAGAGGGAAAGAAGGAAGGGAAAAAAATTTATCTCGTTCTCTCAAAAAGGATGATAGAAGTCTGTTGGGGTGAGGAGTTTGATGATAAGTTTGATTATAAAGTTGAATTTGACGAAATTAATGATACTTTTTGCTCTTATAAAACCTCTGTTTTTTCCCAAGATGAACGAAGTGGTAGTGGTTGACGTCCTGATTATCGGATTAACTCAATCAGAGATAATACCACTGATATAAACTTGTCAGGCGAAGAATTTGGAGTAGGAACAGAAACAACAATAAGAGATGGGAAAGTGGTTTCTGAGGAAAGGCGGGCCTTTTTTCGCCGATGAGACAAAGATGGTAATATCATAGAAGAAAAGAAAGAGAATTTAGATGAGCCTTTTTATCTTTTAACAGAGGAGAATGAAGAAGAAAATTTTCCGAAAATAATAGAAATAAGTGGTAACGAAATTGAAGCAAGGAATAATCAAGAGGACTTGCCTGATTTGACTATTGTAAAAGGTAATTGGTATCATCCAAGAGGAAATGGCATTCTTCGTGATAAAGAGAAAGTTAGTTTTAGTTACTCTCATTTTTCTTTTTCTAATGACGAGGAATATTTGAATAAAAAACGAGATGTTGTAGAAAAAATTAAAAAAAGCATTAGAAATTTTGGTAAATGAGAATTAGAAGAGAAAGTTACTAGAAAAAAAGTTCACTGATGGCAATCAGGAGAAGAAAAAGATATGTTATTGTTTCATAAGTCCTTTAAGTTTGAGTATGATGAAAAAGATGGAAAATTAATTACTGAAACCGGTAAAGTTCATTGATGAAGTGGTTTTTCTGACAATGAACGAACAGAAATTTTAAGAGAGACGAAACTAGCAAAAGAAAGAGAACAACAAATAGAAGTTCAAAACCAGGACCAGGAAATTCAAAACCAAGCACTAGTTCTACAAAAAAAAAATTCGGGAGAGTAGAGTTTGTGATTTTTTTCTCCATACTCTTATCTTTTCTTGCGTTGTATCTCATATGAAAGAACACAAAAAAAAAAAGAATTATAATTAACAATAAAAAATAAAAATATGACAAACGAATTACAAGCAAAAAAAGAAAAAAATTTCAAGTGGTTAATAATTAACATGTTTATACTCAGTGCCTCATTGCTTTATACTGTTGGTTTAGGTGGACTAGGGTGTTAAGCGGACGGATTTTCTCTGGTAAATGAGGTTCTGATATGTCGGGGATTTGTGTTGCTATCGGCTTGTTGTTGGGATTAATAGTGACAATTGGATTTTTTATCTCTTCTCTGATTTATTTAATCAAGTGAACAAAATCCAATTATAATGAAGAGAGAGATAGAGATAGAATAATTAATAAAGGTTTTTGAGATAGTTTAAGTATTTTTCTCCATCCTTACCGGTGCTTCTAGTCCTAATAAGTTAAGTCCTAATCGTAAAATTATTTGGATATTTTTC